TAAATTTCATATATAAATAAAAAAAATAAAATAAAATAAAATAAGGCATTCCAGGACCCCTGAGATTGACAAATCAAAGTCTCTGTAGCGTTGGTGACAAAGATGATTCAGCAGAGGAAGCTAGTATAAAAATAACCCCAACTTCCTGCTCCTGCCACAGCTGGGTGCCTCAGGGGGAAGTCAGCTTTCAGCATGAATGAGCCGCTGTGGGACCCTATTTCTACTTGTCAAGGCAGAAAGTTTAGCATCTTCTTTCAACATACTGGTAGTCCTAAGAAGAAATCGAGATGATTTGCTAAAGGATTAGAGAGCAAGTAATTCAAAACAGAACACCAAACTGATGTATAAAAAGGAATATTTATCTTTTAAAAATACAACTTTGAACACTACTGACATCTCATTTACAAAGTATTTTCCGGAAGTACTCTTCATTGGCTTTGCTTACTCAGTACATTCTTTTACTTTGAACCAAGACACAAGGGAGGGCATGCTTGTGTTATTATAAGCACCAACAACAGCACACAAGAAAAGATCATCTCTGCCTCAAAATACTAGCCCCAAATCTTCATCCTTTCCCTCTTGTTTCCATCAAGCAGGACTTCCTGACCAGTCCATGTGTGCTCTGCCATTGCAATCTGCCGGTAGGCATCATAGAGCTGGGGTGTCCCCAGCGATCGGCACTCCAGGTGGATGGAGCTGAGCCATTTGCCAGAAGCATCACACACCTGGGCTCATTCATTACCAAGAGTTTTCTACTAAGACTCATATCAACTCTTTGCAAACATTCAGCATGAAGTAAACATAATATTTACAGTAGTACACAGTTTGCAATTCAACACGCTGACAGCAGAAGAAAAGGGACCAACAGACTTTGTAAGAAGGCTAGAGGCAAAAGCATGTTAAAATAAATCCCTTCTGCTAGTGTGTGTGTGTGTACGTGCATGTACACATGTGCACGCATGTGTTTTAATTCATAGAAAACTAAACATGCCCTCCTTTAAAAGCAGACTATATACAAGGTGATTCTGAATAGCACATACACATGCCAGTCATACTGGACACTTGCTTTCTACGAATACATCTAGGTTTTTTTTTTTAAATCTGATATATTGGAGAAAATAACTTTGGAACATTTGTCAACTTTTGGTTCACAGTAATTTTGCAAAAAGCCACAAACCATGCTTTGTCTTTTAAAAGGTGAGCCTGGTCAGGTACCTTCTAGAAGATGCTGTGTTATTCATTTACTGGCTTACTGGGGAGTAGAGAGGCAATGTCAGTCATGGCGTGCCTAGTGTACCTCTCATTCCCCTCACCAGTAGCAACAATAATGTGAGGAGGAGTTTTGAAACACAAATCACATACAAATCATCAAAACATTTCAGTCAACAGTGTTTAAAAAAATACCAAACTCTACAGCAGTAGTACAGACACTGAAAACACCCCAAATACGCTTTAGCCACAGGCCTTTTTCAATACTACTAATAAAAAAAGACAACCAATTGACAGAAAGAGAGGAAGTTACAGCACTTGAGGCTTGAGTCCATTTCTTTTTAGGGCCTGTAGCTTGAGGTGCTGCTCTAGGATCCTTATTTTAACTCAAAAGATATTCCAGGAATGAACTGGCAAACTGAAAACAACTTCCACTTGAAAACCATTGCTAATACAAATCACTTTTTAAGCTTGTCCAACACACATGTATTTGCAGGATCCCAGGTTGTTAGGCAAAGGGATTCAGGTCAATTTCAAGCCCTCAAAGCCACAGAATTTCCATCTCTTCTCCAGACTGGCTCCAACTCCAGTCATTTCCTGCTTGAAGGTGTGCTGGAGTCGGCTCATGAGACACTCCACGTCACTGGTGCAGATCTGTGGGGCAGAAAGAAGATCTCCATTCAAAAGCAGTTCCACCTTCCAGACAGAGTCCACTGAGGTTTTGTTTTATGCATATCATAACTGCTTTATTTAGGTAATAATTTACATATGACAGATTCACCAATTTTATGTGTATAGTTTAATGAATTTTAGTAAATTTATATAATTGGGCAACTATCACCACGATTCAATTGTAAAACATTCCATTGCCTATAGAAATTTCCTTCATGCCCCTTTGCAGTCCATCATCACTCCCCATCCCTGACTCAGATTTTTTCACTGCAGTTTTGAATCTTTTGGAAATTTTATATATCTGTAATCATACAATATGTATATAGTCTTTTGTGACTAGTTTCTTTCGGTTAGTATGATATTTTTGAGACTTATCACCACTGAGCTTTCTAATGAAAAGAGCTGGTGTCAGTTGTGCAGGGAGGCTTGGGTTTGTAGCCAGCTGAATGACAGCCAGCTGATCAGTGCTGGTGATGCTATGTGCAGGCCTACTGAAGCTGCAAAGCCTTTTGGGAGGGGAGGGAGGCACAGCAGAATTCTTCACACATGCGTTGCTTTACAAAGGAAGAATGACAGAAATAAGGAATTCTCTGTATTCCTACTTCTGTGCATTGTCTCCCTCTCCCCACTTCACTTACATACCCCAATATAAAAACAAAAATGTATGGACCCCTTTAGGACTTGTTTCAGGTGGTCATCTTGACATTAGTAGCAACCTTCCTAACTGTGAACCTTGGGCACTAGGGCTCAGTTGGAGGGTACTAGGGGATCTTGAGAGAAACCCTGAGCTGCTGCCACACTGAATATTCCTGAAGTTGGCGCAAGGGAGCCGCCAGTTCTGTTGGCATCACTGCAGGCTCTCTTTGGGAGGTGCTGTCACTACTCTGGTAGGAAGCTGCTCAGGAGAAAATGGGCCTAAAGTAGGAGTGAGGTCATGCTTTCTTCCTAGTGCTAGGAGTAGACTGTAGCCAGTTAAGTGAAAGAAACACATTGCAGAGTATGTCATATAGAGCTGACTCTCCATTCCAAACTCATAAATATATAATGTTTATAGATACATACATACAATATAGGTGCAGCATATGTATAGAAAATGGTCTGAGATAAGATATGCTAAACTGTTAACAGTGGTCATCCTTGAGGGGTGGGACTGTTGGTAACTTTCACTTTCCCTTCACTATATTTCTATGTTGCTTACATTTTTAATGTAATGTGCATGCATTATTTTTTTACATTTTTTTAAAAAAAGGACCAGATCACTTTTACTGACACATAGTTCAATTTCATACCACTTCAACCTACCACTGGGTCTTGGTACTCACATTCCATCCCTCCCTTTGCTGCCAAATGAGCTATTTAATTGCAGAATGGCACCACTTCCCAGAGATAAATGAGGGGGAGCTCTAGCTAGAACTAAAACAAATGCCATGAACAGGATGCATCAGCATAGCTGGATTCCCAAGTGGGCAAGTGCCTCTGTTAAGGGGACATATGCTTAAATGGCTTAGTATTTTGGACATGCAACTATCAGGAATCTGCATTCCAAAGGCACATCTCCAGAGCACTAGATCCTGTGAAATTGTGAATACAATCCATAAGCAGGATTAACTGAATGTGACTTCTGAAAAAAAAATTTATCATAGTTTATTTATTCGGAGGGGTCAAGTGTCCCCTCCTGTTTCTGTGAGGTGTTATGGACTTTCTAGGGAACTAACACCCTCGCTCCCCACGCTTTGTGAGGTCCCCCATAGGCATCCAGGGAAGGAAGTGGCCCATGAGATCAGCTATGAGCAGAACTTGAGTCTGCATTGAAGACTTACTGTCCCATCTGTTCTGTTTTTGCCCCTGCCTTGATTGTTTCAACATAGATAATGGCAGTGGTGATGGTGATGACTTGAATAAGACTTTCGGTTCTGGGGGCACCTGGGTGGCTCAGTCGGTTAAGTGCCTGACTTCGGCTCAGGTCATGATCCTCACGTCATGTTCATGAGTTCTAGCTCTGTGTTAGGCTCAGCGCTGATAGCTCAGAGCCTGCTTGGGATTCTCTGTCTTTCCCTCTCTCTCTGCCCCTCCCTCATTCTCTTTCTCTCTCTCAAAAATAAATAAGCATTAAAAAAAAAGACTTTCGATTCTGAACATTAACATTAGCTAGTGGTTAATGGCTCAGTGTAAAAGTCTGACTGGGGAGAGATACTGCTTCATTTTCAGCTTATATGTAAATTAAAGAGAGGAGGAAAATTCTTCTAAGATGTATCTTGGAAGTAGGGTGGCCAGTTCATTCAGGTTTTCTCAGTACTTCCTGCTTCTGGCATTGGGAGTCCCAAGTCCTAGGAAACCCCTCGGTCTCAGACAAATGGAAGCAGATAGTCACCCTACTTGCACGAGGGTGATTCTCACTGAATCGCAGTGAGAGAATAGGTGAGGAAAATTTCCTTAGAGCAATTACTAATGACTTCTGCAATAATTTCTGCATGAAGAAAATACCCTACATCCCCTTGCATGCCCATTTCAGGACCCCACATACCTTATTATCTAGACGGTGCAAGTAGGAACAGATGTATTCAATGCTTGCTCCAAATGGGTGGACATGAAGAAATGTGGAGATAATCCCTATAGTGACAGTACCATGGAGGTTACACTTGAGCATCATATTCTTTGAGATGACAGCTAACTCACATATACCACATACTATGGACTGGGCAATATTCTACATTATATATATATTACTCACTTAATCTGTACAACAACACACTGCATATGCTGCCTCTCACTACACAATATCACATGTAGAAAAGCTGGCATGTGAGAAGTCACTTCCATCATTCATGATGGCTAAAGACCATTTGAGTTCTACACATCACAATGAATTTGGAATTTTATAATGAATTTAGATTGTGCTGGGTTTTTGCAGTTCTTCTGCACAGTCTTTAAATTGGACTTGAGCCTCTTATGCATTAATAATATCTTGCTGTTGTGGCCAAAGTACAAATCAGGTACTTTGGCTGATTCACTTCATGCCTCTCACAAGAGAATTTGCTGATTATATTTGGTTTTATTCTGTGCGTAGCTCTGTAAAGAAAAGCCAAACATTTCACTCACTCAAATGGTCACTAGCATTTTGTTTGTGCTTAGGGCACTAAATCTCTTGAAGTAACACATGCTTTTTTACAGAAGTTTACAGCTTCTGGGAATCTGCACAGTTTCTACTCAGCATAACTATGGGGTGATTGGCAGCTCTCCATACTGCGTTGATTGTTCTGGACATCACGTTAATTGTTCTAATACTTCTTTCTCTGGCAACAGGTAGAATATAAATTGTTCAAAGACCTACTGTTTCTTTCTTTAATTTTTTTAAATTCCTCTAAATAGACCCAGAATTGAGTTTGTTGAGAACTGCCAGGAAATAAAAGCTAAATTTGATTTGGTTTATAGGCTATAACTTGTCTATGCCTTTGAGTGACTGATAAGGAATATCACAAGTTTGAGTTGTAGCTTGAAGTTTAAATCAGTTCTTTGTGAAAATCCTCCAAATATTAGAGGGCAAGGAGGTGGGTTGGGGAATCCAGGAGAAGCTGATGATAGAGTTCAAAATCTGTTTGAAATGGATGCTATTACTTATAACACTACATTATTCTTAAATGATGAGGTAAATTGAATTGCTATACCGTGACTCAAACTGAGAAACTTGAATTCTAAAGAAGACAGCCCATGTCCAAAGGAATTCTAGGTGCTACGGCCAAGACAGGCTGTCTGTCAGATGCTGAGGAATAACTCCATAGGTTTCAAAACACTAAGCAGTTTTTGTGAGTTCACACTGAAAAAACCAATTTAAAAAATAGATTTTCCTTTCTGTCAGCCCAAGACTACATTCTTTAAAAAATAAAACAAGAAACACTTATCTTGAGAATCTTCGTTTCTACAACTATCCGTTCACAGAGGCTTCATTCTACCCTCAGCTCTTTGACAGGTCTCCCTGTTGCCTAGCCAATTTGTTAAAGAACTCTGAGTTGTAAAATGGAAATAAGTTGTCACTTTTCTTGAGGACTCAATGGCAGATACCCCTGCACATCTTTATTAACATATCAAAGTGTTAAATCTGTCTACAATATCCATTACCAAAGAAGGCAGATAAATCTTTAAGATATGCAGAAGCCAATCAGTGGAGAGAACTCCGGAGGTTGGGGTGGGGCCGCTGTGGGGCTCAGCTTCCTAGAAGGCAGTTGGGATGATCTGTTGACACCCAGTACCCGTCCTTTGGGAATGACTGAATATTTTAGGACCTCAATCTGCTGCTGTTTTCCAAATGGAATACCAAGTCAACAAGCATTTGTGCAGAGTGCTCTAAGTACCAAGTGGTTCTCATTTACTGAGGGCTTCCTATGGGCTATGCACTGTGCTGAGTGATTCAGATGAATTATTGCATTTAATACTTGCAGCTGCCTGTTGAGATAGGTAATATTATGCCCATTTTGCAGATGGAGGAACTGAAGCTCAGGAAGGAAATGGTAGGGTCAAACAGGAAACCAGGTCTGTGTGATTCCTTGACTGTTTGTTTTATCCTGCCTCTGTGAATGAATTTCTATATAATGAGAGCAATTCTAGCATTTATCTCATCAGAGCCCACCAGTGACCAGCACTCCATAGACAGCCTCCAGAGTCATCTGCCTGTAACCTGGGGGGAAAAAAACTTCAGAGAGGCCCACGTTGCCTATGGAGGCTCATCTGGAAACCTCTCTGCCAAAGAAGAGTCTGAACCATAACCCTGAGTGGAATGAGGGGGCCCAGCTATCCTTGCATAGAGATTTAAAAAATCTATGTGTTTCTCCAGCAGACCCCCTCTTGTGCTTACACCCACACATTTGATGTGCCAGCAACCACTGGAGCTTGAGAAGGACTGGGAGCTGCTGTTACCATTTTTATAAAGTCTATACTTATTCTTCTCCTGTTGTCTGCACTGTTGTGCTTCCTAAATGCTTAGCGTGTATATTCATCTTAGGTAAAACCCTTCCACCCTCCACCACAGCCAATACATGGGATGCGTGTGTTAGCTTCCTTACCCACTAGCAGTGCTTCACGTTCAGATTTGATAGGACTGCTGTTCAGGGTCTTCTCGAGAGGGTAGTCACTATCTTGGTTTGATGCACATAGTCTAGAAGCACAGCTTTCCTGCGGGAATAATATGCTTCCTGGGTCAGTTCACCTTACTGGGTAATAGGCTTGGATTCAATTATGCAACAGGGAGCTTCTTAATGTAGTACCTCAAAAGCAATACTGTACAATTTTGATTATTGAATGGAGAGAAAATAGCATTTTTATGCAAAAGCATCAAAGATTATCCAAAACTTCTTAATATGGCTCCAAAACACAGAAAAATTTAGTCATTCATCTTTACCAGGTTTTTTTTTTTTTTCTGCCTTCAACATTCTTGACTCTAAACAGGTAATCTGGGAGAACCAGACCTAAACATTTACTGTCTACTAGATGTCAAACACTGTTAGATATGTATTATCTCCATTCTACAAATTAGGAAAGTGAGGCTGAGGTAAATTAGGTAAGTTGCCCAAGATCACATTTCTAGGAAGTGGTAGAGCTTAGATTTCATGCCAGGCCATCCACTGTTAAAAGGACTGTTCTTTTTAATTTTAGGTCCACACTCTGCTAAAGGTAAGCCCCATATCTGAGTGGAGAATCTACAATATAGTTAATCTACTCTCAGATAATCAGCTGTTGGCTTTTGAACTAAAAAGTAGAGCTTCTATTTATTATCAGCTCTGTCTTCTCTCTGATAAGGACATTATCAGTTAGGATATTCCTGACTTTACATCAAGAAATGACCACGATCAAAATATTACTCAAGTGGCTTTCTTTGTTGTTGAAAGTTTTCTCCTTCTGAGCATAGGAGGTATGCTTCATAAGAGATACTCAGGTGAAACTCATGACCAACCATTAAACTGAAAAATACTGCCAGACCTTTCCTGGATCTTTCTTTCTCTCTTTGGGCACTGAGAACATCTTTTCTGTATTATAAATGTGAAGGAAGAGCCTTGGGAAGAAGGAATAAAAAAAATCACTGCTTTGGGTCTTACTTCTCTTAGAAAAGGAAATGCTGGGGAAATGCTCCTGGGTGGGGCGGATCATGGCTGACTCAAATGCTTTGTCACTTCGTCCCCTCCACAAGCCCTCAGCATGGAGAGGATTCCTTCTGTTTTCTTTATTTTTATTTTATTTTTTTTTCTAACGTTTATTTATTTTTGGGACAGAGAGACACA